TCTTAAAAGAGTATTTTGACTAGTCAAAATACTCTTTTAAGATATCTTAAATAACTAATGTGTCTAGTCAAAACTCAGTTTCAGATATCTGGAATGTAAGCGTGGTGAATCCTATTTTATGTTAAAAGGGCTTGCCATACCAGGCTGCAAACACACTCATCACCTGTTACTCCCAATCTCCCTCCTTAAATAATTTAAATGTAAACTGTAGAGAAGCGCAGCAGGACATCAAAGGGTTAACCCTTCACGCAGCAGCAACACGGAGCAGAAATGTACTTCTTGATCAATTACACTGAAACAGCTGTAAATAGAAGTTCTAAAATAATTAAAAATAACTTTTTTAACACTTTTTTATATATTTTGATTATGACGATTTTACAATGACATGCTTTGATTTTTAAGTTTGCAAACAAGTTGATCAGTGTTTCTGGACAGCAAAGGGAAAGCTGCTTCAACTGGAGCAGAAATGCAGGAGGGAGCTTCTGTCTGCACTTGTGGGCTGCAAACAGGTGCTAAATCATTTTAAATAATTTATTTTAAATAAACAATTCATGGCTCATCCATCAATCAGCCAATTGTGTCATGTCCAGTCTTACTTTGAAAAACGGCAATAGAGCGAATCCGCAAAAAACGAACCGCGAAGTAGCGAGGTACTACTGTATTTGTTGACCAGCTGCCACATCTAATATGGCGGCTGCTCTGACGTAATGTGACATACAGTACAGCTAACAAGACCACGCCACTAATAGAACCATGCTGCTAAAAGAACCTCACGGAACTGAACCACACTAAATGCTTTTCTTTTTCACTTTTGGCACCTTGTTTTTTTGTATTTCTTGTTGTTTTGACGAGTTGAGACGTTTTTGTTTTTTTGTCCTGAGAATTTCTTTGCATTGTTGACCTTGTGTTAATTTAAACAGGTCTCTCTTGTAAATGAGTCCTCGGGGCTCATTGAGACTAACCTGTATAAATAAAGCTTGAATGAATATGACAAATAAGCCAAACGTGTACTGCTGTAATGGGTCAGCCCACTCACCGAGGTGTCTACATATTTATGTCTATGGTTTAAACAAGGCCTGAATCCACTTGAGGGCAGACATTTTCCTCAGTTGAGGTGTTTTGTGCTCCTTATGCTGCAAATAAAGATGCACTTTTTGTTTGTGTCCAGCATAGGAGCCTCCCTCCCCTGGTGGATCTCGGAGAATGGGGTGCCTATTGGGGTCAGCGGGGGAGCTGGCTCCCTGGGAGGGCATTGCCACCTCAGTTGTTCCTCCCCATCCCGACGTCTTCCTCCACCCACTCCATCACACCACCACTCAAGCAGGACCTTGGGGTTCAGGTGCACTACTGAGCTGCGGGGAGTATCCTCCATCTCCGTGGTTCGTGGAGACCTGGGCCCCAATTTTATCAAACAACCTAGACACTCGTATATAACATTCTCACGACACATGCATATATAGGGTCTGGAGTGGGCACACGGTGGCATATAGGGGGTGGGATGTGTAATCATTCTCACCTCCGTGACCTGCTGTGCCCACTCTCATATGTAGCATGTAGACATTTAGGGCTCTGGGCAAGGGTTGGAGAGGTGAACGGGCACTGCCTGCTCTCTGGGGAGGGGGTGGGTCTGTGCCAGTCGCCGCCTCATCCCCCCCCATTTTAAACGCACTATATAACAACATGCATCAACATCTTATTTGAATGGGAGGAGGGAGGAGTTGGGTCTTCCAGTTTTCCTTAAACCCTCATTCTCCGTCTGACATTGGGGGGGGGGGGGGGGGGGGGGGGGGTAGGCTCCCTGGTTGGGGTCTGGGCTGTGGGTGGGTATTGGGCCTTTGGGGGTGGGGCTGGTGCTCCGGTTCTCCCTGAATTGTTTTGGACCCCTTGATCGGGATTCCTGGTTCTGATGGCCAGCCCTTTGGCTGGGGTGGCTGCCGGGTTCTGGCGGGAGGTCGGCTGTGGTTGTGTGTGTGTGGTCGTTGGTAGTGCGTGGCGGCGGTTGGGGGCGTGGCTTCACTTCGACGGAGTGCTGGCTGGTCGGCCTGATGTGACATTCACAGTGCGGGGTGCTGTGTGTGTGTGTGGGGGGGGGGGGCATGGGTGGCATGCCGGGGCTTCTCCGGGCCTATGGTGTGGGGCTTTAGGGATGCATTGGTGCGCTCAGCCAGCCTTCCTCAGCTTCTGCTCCCTAGGCGTCGCAACCATTAAATGTGAAGGGGGCGTGTGTCCCCCTATAAAACGCTCATTTGGACACCCCCCCCCACACACACACACACAACACACACACATATACCATGAAACGGCGCTGTATCTTTTTCTTTGTGAACCAATCCATTCCACTTGATTAAAAGGGGAATACTCATACCACCAAAACTCCATTCCAGGTTTTCCTGGTTACCTCCAACTCTCCAGCAGCTTGTAGTGTTTCTCCTCTTCGTCTCCTGCCTCATCAGAAAACGCTCACAGGTGGAGGAGGTGGATACACACCTCTGTGTTGCTCACCAGCTTAGTGATCTTAGTGCAGGCAGTTGCTGACCAGGAGGGTTGATCATAAACATATATTCATGTTAGGAGGATGTTTGAGAGAAGTGGAGCGCTACGTCTGTAGCATCTTAGCTTAGCAGTAACTGTGACGCTGTAAGATGCTGCAGGTGTAAGATGCATTAAAGTTGAACTTTAATGCACAAAAAAACTGTAAAATGGAGCTAAATGTTCAGTCTCAGGCTGTTTTTAAAAAAACACTGAGTACAAAGAAGAGACTTTAAGTCTATCGTGAACATGGTTTCACAATATAGTGAACGAGCCCATCTGTGGACCAGCCTGGACCTCAGACCTCTGGAGGGCAGCTTGAGAGTCACTGAATTATGAAGTCTGCAGTCTGAGTTGCCCTGCACTCAGGAAGTGATGTGGAAAGTTTAGGCCCAGTGCCTCTTTCTCAGAGTAGACGATGTAGTTCTCCTTAAAATACAGTTTATATTTTTGTTTATCATCCATGGGTACAGTGGCTCTAAGGTGTAAATGAACAACATTTGAAAAACCGGAATTACATTTGAAAAAAACAGAATTACATTAAGCCAAACAGGAAGTTTTTTTCTTTTTACTTTATTAACAGCATAAAACCGAACAAGAGAACAATATACAGTACACACACAACGGAGATACAGTTAAAAGGATAGCCTGCTAACTATCTCAGTTGTGTGTGTACTGTATATTGTTCTCTTGTTCGGTTTTATGCTGTTAATAAAGTTTAAAAAAAAATCCAGTTTGGCTTAATGTAATTCCATTTTTCAAATGTCATTCTGTTTTTTTCAAATGTTGTTCATTTACACCTTAGGGCCACCGTATATTGGTCTTTTATAAGCAACAATTTTCACTTCAGTTTTTATTGGAAAGGCATAAAAATTCCCTGGTATGTTTCAGAACAGGAAGACCAACAGTGTACAAACACACATTACTAAGCTGTCGTATTAAAATAGACCTAAGGAGCCGAGCAGATTTTTCTTCTTTTGTTTAAGACTGTTTTTTTGACAGGATTTTGTGTCTTAGGTCAGCTTTGTGAAGGAGGCCATAATAAAGGTTCTGAATCTGGTTTTGATCTTCTCAGACCGATGGCAGGCTGGATTTGGAGCATGGAAGTAAGAGCTCTTCAGTTATTGTAATATTAGAGCTTTAAACACATTGGTTAGAACTGAGTTGTAATGATTTGTTTACAAAAAATTGTTTCAGGATCGAGTCTATTGATAAAATGGAGTCAGATTTTAAGAATTGTCACATGTTCCTAGTGACCATCCTCAACAAGGCAGTTTGTCGGGGCTCCTTTCCTCACTGTAAGTAAATCTCTAATCTAGTCCTGTTGATTTATAGTAAATTACATGTTATTAGGGGGCAGCTGTGACTGAGTGGTTAGAGCAGCAATCTTCCAGTGGGAGAGTTGGGGGTTCGATTCCTCCAGCAGTCACATGCTAAAGTGTCCCTTGGCAAGACACTGAACCCCTCAATAGAGTGCTGTATGTGTGTGTGTGTGTGTGTGTGTGTGTGTGTGTGTGTGTGTAGTAGAGCGCTATATGAATGTGTGTGTACTAGAGTGCTGTAGATGTGTGTAGTAGAGTGCAGAGCCCTATAAAGAGAGAGTTGCGACACTCCCACAGACTCCCACAGACTCCCACAGACTCCCACAGACTCCCATAGACTCCCATAGAAAGAATGGAATGCTGAAGTCACGTGGATCATGAAGCGGCAAAAAGTTCCAAACAGCAGCGGTTCAGCATTGAACGTAGTTCATTCTCTGTGTTTTTCCGGTAAGTTGATGCAAATACGACACTTTTTCTCCATTGTGAAGCGTAATCTGACTGTTCTGTACCACAATTTATCAACATTAATACTTCATGTCTCCAGTTTTAGTTAATGAAACATGTTAAATTGTTAGTTGTGTTTTAACTGCAGCTGCTCTGCAACATGACGGTTTAAACGAGTCTATTTCTAATTCAACGTTTTAAAATATCTATTACTGCTTACATTTTGAAAGGTGGTCTTTTTTAAATTTATGGTAATTCCAGTTACTGAACTCAACTAGAAAATATTTGGCCTTTTTTTCCTGAGAGATTCATTCAACCTTTATTTCTACAGGTAAATCCCATTGAGCCTCGAGGACTCATTTACAAGAGAGACCTGATTTAACAAAGAATGATGACAACATGACAACAAGACTGATGTAATTTAGTTAAAGTTATAGATCATTTGTCAAAGACTGCAGCATAAATTGTGACATTATCATTAAAGAAAAACGTGATTGTGGAGATGAGTCAATGTTTTCATGTTTTCCAGGTAAACCAGAGGAGAATGACTTCATGAACTGAATGTTGCATTCAAAGTATCACAAAGGTACAAGATCTCATTTTCTGTCTTCTATTAATCAATAACAGCTGAATCAAGATGTTTGAATAAAATTACTTTAACACCATAACCTTCACAAAGTTGGTATTTACTGCAGGACTGTTCATTTACATTAGTTTTATATTATTAGTTTAGTGTTTGGTAATCATGGGTCAAGTTGAGATGAGACTCTTTCAAGACAGAACAAGAAATAAGAATTATTACAAGAATAAATCAGCATCAATAAACTGTAGGACAGTAACAAAACACTTATTAAACTATCACAGGTACATTGAGATGGAGCTGGAAGTTATTCTTCATTCCAGTTGTCTTCATCTGATCTTTTGTAAAAATATGTCAATTTATTTTACATTAACATTTTTCTTCTCAGGACTGAGTTAATTTTCTTGTCTGTGAGTTTCTTCTGTCCTGCTTATGGATTTTTTGTTCTAATTGTTCCTCAGGTTGTTCATCTCTGTTCCCTGACTGCCTGTTGATCCATCCTCCTGGTCCTGTTGATCCATCCTCCTGGTCCT